TCTCTCTCTCTCTCTCTCTCTCTCTCTCTCTCTCTCTCTCTCTCTCTCTCCTTCCTGATAGCCGTGAGATGAACAGTTTTGTTCTGCCTCACCCTTCCTGCCATGATGTTCCTCCTTGCTTCAGGCCCAAAGCAATGGAGGTAGCTGCTCATGGTGTACAACCTCTAAAACCAGACCCAAAATAAATTTTTCCTCCTTTAAGTAGATGTTCTGAAGTATTTTGTCACAGTGCCAGAAAGCTAACATAATCACTAATAATAAAAATACATTTAAAAATACTAATAAGAGCATATTTCTCTTCTACCAAAATGGCAAATATTTAAAGTATCATAATCTAGTGTGATGTGATATAAATACTCATAAACTACTAGAAACAGTTGATAGTATTGTTTTGGAGAGAATTTATGCATTGTTCATGAAAAACTTTAAAAATGTACATACCCTATGATCTAATGATATCAATTCTGGAAAAGTATCACAAAAATTGAAAAATATGAAAAAAAGAAAGTTTAAAAATATGCACATAGTTTATGTATTAAGGACATTCATCCTAGAATTATTTATAACATTGAATACTCGAGAAACAATGCCTAATAGCCAATAGTAAATTATGTATTTCCAAAAAGTAGAAGATATTATGCAATTATTAAAATTGTGTTGTAGGAGACTTTAATCACTTGAGAAAGTACTCATGTTTTTAAGTAAAAACTAAAAGCAAAATTATTTACAAATTATTATTCCAATTTTGGAGTACACACAGAGTTAATAAAACAAAAAGGAAATTTCTAAAAATATTAATACCATTAATAATAGTGGTGTTTTCTTTGGGTAGTGGGATCCCTGGTGATTTTTATATTCTTCTTAATATTCTTTAGCATTTTCCAAAATGTTTACAATAAACTGAATACATATGCATCACATATATTTTGCACTATATATCTACATATTTATAACTATAGTTTATACCTACATCTAGGCATATTTATTTTTCTCTCTCCATATATATCTGAACATACACATATGTATATAGAGAGTGTTTCACTTGAAAATTTTTATTAAGCTGATTAGAGAGAAGGATGCAGACAGAATCAGGTCAATTTATGTTTTGTGTGTCAGGTAGATTTCTTCAGGTAATCAATTGTCAAAAATTTGGGCTTCTTTTGAACAGGATAACTAACTCATTCACAGAATTTTAGACCGAGAAGGCACCCTGAAGATCCCGGATGCCAAGGTCTGCCCATCATGTTCACACTTGGTTCCCACTACCTAGTTCAGTTACCCCAGTCTTTGTACAGGAGAAGCTGCTTTCTCCAGAAACAAAACGGCTTACTTGCCCAAGGTTACACATCCCAGGGAAATAATACCAGTATCAGCAATAATTAGGATTACTATTATTATTAACACTTATCACATCTACTACGTTCCAGGCACTCTTGTAAGTGCTTTATGTGCATCAACTTATTTAACACTTATAACAACCCTCCAGTATTGTTATTATTTTCACTAAATAGGCGAGAAATGGAATCACACACTGCATCAGTCCTCTGTCCTACCCGCCATTTCCTACAAACCCTAATCACCTAGAAATTGGATCCGAGGCTGGCCCACATGAGTCTTTTCAAGTGAGTTCCTAGGTTGCTTCTCTCTGTGTGCATGACTGGGGAGATTTTAAAGACCCGCCATATGAAAATAATGTCCTGATGACCTGTATTACTCGGGCTTCATCCCTGGAGCGTCCCTACTGCTGCTCCGTGGGGACCAAGATATAGGAAACACTCCGGGGGTCACTGGCCTGTCTCATCCTCTGTCTTGCAATATAGCTCCCGCTCCGGTGGCAGGACATCCCCTCCAGGCAAGCTGCGCTGGGCCTCAGCCCCTGCCCGCGCCACCTGCTCCCCGGCGCCCGCGTCCCCGCCCCGCGTCCCGCCCCCGCGCCGCGCCCGCGTCCCGCGGTCCCTCCCTCCGGCGTGACGGGAGCACCGGCGCCAGCTGCCCGGGCAGCCAGCGCAGCGGAGCTGTCAGCAGGCGCACTGACAGGGGCGAGCGAGCGGGGAGCCCAGGGAGCGCACCCTCCTCACAGCCAGGGAACCGGAGCTGCCGCCCCACCCGGGGAGGCTGCCTTCCTGTCCGCCAGCCGACCACCGCGGGACGGAGATGCTGCTGTTCGCCCTGCTGCAGGAGCGGGGCGGGGGCCGGGGGCGGCCAGCGGGGATGCCCCGCCGCGGGCGCGCGCCGCCCTGGAGCCTCGCCTGGATTTGCTGCTGGGTTTTCGCCGGCTTTCAGGCGGCCTGGGCTGGGGACTTGCCCTCCTCCTCCTCCTCCTCCAGCCGCCCGCTTCCTCCTTGCCAGGAGGTGAGCAGCACCTGGCCCCTTACCTGGAGTTTGCCGAGAGGGCGGGGGAGGGGTTGACTGTTTATTTCTTCATTTGCCTTCGTCACCTTTTTCCTTGTTGGAGGACTGGGTTTTCGTTTTGTTCCAAGGGATGAAGTTGACCGCCCCTGGTAGCTGGCCTGGAGAGGGTGTGTGGCTTTGATGCCTATCTGGTGATGTTTTCTGTTCGCGCTTATTTTTTTCGGGTGCGGGTGAGGCGGGGGGCGGCTCTGAAGGACTTTGCGGTGCCCTCTTTGGAGAGTCAGGTTTGAGGATTTGGGGGTCGAGGGAGACGTTTCGACAAGGGGAGGAGACTGGGGAAGCCCCGCCAGTGAGAATTGGAGAACTATCTCATTACAGTTTTTCCTGAGACCCAGATACAGACTCAGGAGGGTTTCCCGCGCCTCCCCCTTTTCTCCACTCCCAAGTGTTTACAAACGTTTTCGTCTTACTTCCCTGCCCTCACCTTCCTGATAAGGCCCTGGAGAACTGCTAAGCCTGTGTGTAGTGTCATTTGGCATTCTTCTGGCAAAATATGGCTATAAATTGGTTAGGAAAAAAAAAAAGAGTGTACTTGGGGAAGAGGCGGGCTGGTGATGTAGAAAATTGGAAAAGACAGAGTGAATATGCTCCTTTTGGGAGGTGCTTAATCACCTGGCTGAAGCTGTGCAGCTGTGCATTTTATAGATTGAGATTATTGTGAATTTACAGCCAAGAAGGATAATTTATGGGCGATGAGATTTCCTCTAGGTTTTAGGGGAACATGACTTAGTGTGCCAAAAATTTACAGAGGGTGTCATCGTTTGGTACTTGTATTAGGTGTTTATCATTTAAATGTTCTAGAAAGTGCATCCTCTTAATAAAAATCAATGAGGGGAAGGAAGCAACATTTCTGACCTACTTTGAATGATTATGTTGAAGAGGATATGAGAGGTGGGTCCTGTTTTTAGGAAGATTGCTAGGAATCAGGGTGATAGGGCATTGAACTTAAGCAGCAAAAATAGCTTAGCCAATATCCCCTCTGGGAAGAAAGCCCAGAGCTTATTCCTTGTGTAGATTGTTATAACTTCTGAATTTTACGCAGGTTTGATTGCGAGAGGATCTGTATTCTTGATATCACCATCATCCATGGATTTTCAGCTTCCTTTCTCATAATACAAGTCCCAGGACAGCCTGAAATGAAAGAGAATTAGATCAAAGGCTTGTGTGGGAAGACACAGAAGTGTTGTAATAGGGGAAATCAGGGCATGCTCTCAATAAACAGCTGTATTTAATTTCAGAGTTTTTAGTATAATTAGTTTAATATGTAGTCCACAACTTTATCACCTGGGAATAATCCATTCTTCCAGGTTTCTACAGAGAGTGCTCCTTGGACATCTTCAGTTTGAACAGTTGTGACAGTAGAAACTTTATCCTTTACCCCCATCCTCCAACACCCATCAGTCCCAATATACAGAATGTGTGTTTTCTGAAGTGAAAAGTCTTCAAGCTTCTTGTAACATTAATTCTTAAGTAATGAAGAATCTGTTCAAAATAGGTGAAGGTCAAGGGAAGTACAGGATATACTTTGGTCACTACAACCAGACTAATCATTTAGATGAGCAAATTTCTATACACATGTACCCAGTCAGAACAGAGTATAAGTCTACAACCCAAGGCAGAAGCAGAGAAAGAGAGGTAGGGAGATGATAGAAGGCTCAGGAAGGCTTTGTTAAGTCAATCCCAGCTTTTTATTGGCTTTAGAAATTGCCTGTGATTTATCCTTTTAGCTCTCAAATTTGACTTTTCCCTCTGACAGTAGGAATAGTAAAATGTACAGGAGGATGCTACTGAGCCTGCTTGTGGCTAGCTGTGTTTTTAGAAATGGTCACAGTTTCATTTATATTCCTCTTGATGACCAACAGAATTATAAGACCATTAACTGTGAGTTGAGTTCCTTTGGAAATAGAAAAGGCCTAGTGGCCTTCCAGGGACAATATCTGCTTTTCCCTAGTCTTACCAGCTGAGCTAATATGTAAACTTTATTGTTTCTCTGTGACATTGTTTTTAAGAGTAAAGCAAGGAAGGCAAGGGATTTTCAGGCTTTAAGGGTATGGTTATGTGGAGGGGCATGCCCTTGAGCTTAGTGCTTTCTTCTGATATACAGCTGTGAAAGTGTGGGCCCAACTCCTGTGAACAAAGGCACAGTTAAAGTAACTGCTGTGTGTCACTGCTGCGAGTTTGTCCCTTTGCACTCTTTGTTAATATTAGAGGAAGTGAAAGCTGGATACAAAGGATAGAGCTATGAGGTGGGGAAGAGAGTAAGACCAGTTAAAGTGAGGGGTTTTGAGGGTGGAAACTAAAGCCAACTCTTGATATGAGAGCATGTTGAGGAGTATGGAAAAATATGGAGGTCATTCTAAACCTTGTTTGTCTCATCATCATTTATAAAAGTACTCCTTCTTACCTAAGTTACAAAGTCTAGCAGTTTCTTTGCCTAGTTGTAGAGAAGAGCAATGAAAGGAAAGGGAGCACAGAAAATTGGCCTGGGAATAATCTAGTGATGATTGCCTGAGAGCAGAAAAAAGGCCCTTCAAAAAGACAACTGGGTATGAGTAAAAGTTTCACTTAAAATCTTGCAAAGGATTGGACTCTGGGGTGAAATTCATAAAAAAAAATCAGCTTCCTTTATCAATGTCCTTGGATTATGGAGTTGAAAAGGAGAGAAAAATATGATTGCTTTGGAATGTTCAGCTGGTGATCAAATCAACAGGATGGAAGTACAGGCACAAACAGGAAGTGATAGTTTGGAAGAGAGAAAAAAATGTAAAGTCAATGTACCAGCAGATAAAGAACAAGAATGGGATGTGACTTTGGTAATTGGTATTCAAAGAAAAAAAGGACCAGACATCAGAAGTACTTGAGCTTTCATATGGAGGAATTTACAGAAGGTATTTTCTGGGTATCTGTTTTTCAATTGTAAAATAAAAGTAATACAAAATGACCTACCTACTTTATTGTGAGGATGAGATTAATATATTAAAGGAAAACATCTATATAAATATAAGAGTTCTTTATTGTTAGATTAGCAGAGCTAGATGCTATTATTTCAGCAAGGGTCTACAGCGAGCCTTCAAAGGTTCAGAGGATAGGTCTATCTGAGAATTGAAATGGGATTTTTGACTCAGTGAATAAAAGGACTTAATTGGGCTGCCAGAAGAAAAAAAATAAAAAGGCCAGAAGATGATTCAGAGTTGGAGTAGGGTATTAAAAGATAGAGTACATGAGAGGAAAAATAACAGAACTAAGTGGATTATGTATGCATTATTTAAATATGGTAAATTAAATCACGTGATAGCTGATTCTTAGTTCACTGCTCTAAAATCTTGCATAATGTGATTCTACTGGTCTGTTTGAATCTTTATTGAATGATGACTTTTGTCAACAGTTTTTATTCCACAAACATTTATTCAGCTTATAATGTATTGCAGGCAAAATGTCATGATGTAAAATCACACACACACAAAATATGCCTAGGTAAGGATGAGACAGATATGTAAATGAACAACTGCAATTAAGGGATTTGGTGCCACAAAAGAGGAGAGGGGCAGTCAATCTCCTGGGGAGGATCAAAAAAGATCCTCCTCATAATTTCTACAGAGGAAGTGAATGACACATGAAAAATGTGTAGGAATTTGCCAAAAGACAAGGTTCAGGTGTGTGCTGGTTTGGGGAAAGCTCTTTCCATGTGGAGCATAGACGGAAAAAGGACAGAAGTACAAAACTGCTTTGTGTTATAATTGGTTATCACTGGAGTACAGTGTACAATGAGAAGCTTAATGAAAATGAATCTGAGAGGCAGGCAGGAGCTGATCCCAAGGTACCTTTTATTATGCTGAGAAGCTGATCTTCATTTGGTAGGTAAGGATTTAAAAAGCAGGAGTAACATGCTTTAGTTTGGCAATGGTATGGAGGCCCCATTGGAGCGGTGGGAAATAGAAAGAGGTGTGACCTCCTAGGAGGTGATTGTAATAGTTCAGGTAAAGAATGGCATATCCCCAATTAAGGAGTAGCAATGAAGGGGGATAAGAGAGCTTAATTTAGGAGATAGAATTGACAGTAAATGGATGTAAGATTGAAGGAGTAAGATGCTCTGGCGTGATTAGAGAAAGTTGCTTCTAACCTCCAGGTGATGAGTATGAGGGAGATGAGATAAGGAACTTCCTTCTGGAGAGTGTGACTTTGAGTGGTTCAATCAGCAGTTAGGGTGTCAGGCCCTGTTGCTCCGGAGCATGGTCTGGACTGGTGCACAGATCTCAGAATCACTTGATGGGAAGGTGCGGTGAAACTACTGGATTAGCAGAAATCAAAATCATCCAGGGAGAACAAAGGTCAAAGATAGGACTTGGTTTTTGGCTAATGTTAAAGAGAACAGAAATTGAGGAAATGCAAAAGCAATGACTAGAAAGGGAGAAATGTGACAGGATGAAGTTTTGAGGAAAGGGAGAATAGCTTTGAAGAAGAAAGGGCTGGTTTTGTGTCAGTTTCCCAAAGAATTCCTGATAAAATGAGGACTGAAAAGAGAAGATTGAATTTGGCAATTATGTCTCTGGTACTTTGTGCCAGAATAATTCCTATGGAGTAGAGGAGATGAGTTGACACCATGAGGTAAGGCCATGGTGATATGGTAGAATTGTGTTACATGGCCTTCCTAGATTTGGTAAGATTTGGGGACTTCTAAGTCTACATAAATCAGAAGGATGATAAATGGCCATGTTTTCTATTCCACACTTTGAGGTAAACAGTTGAGAAATATCCTTTGTGCAGCAAATCCCTGTAAGTCGTGGGCTATGGGGAAAGGTGACAGAAATTCTAGAGTCACACTGTCACTGAAGGAGTTAGGACTCTGCTTCTGTTTTTAAGCAGTTAACATAATTAATCTTGCCTGTTTTCCCTGTGGAGGTGAATTTTCCATTTTGAGTTCTTATGCTCAGAACCATTTC